ATTAAAGTTTTATCATTCAACAGTTTCAAGTATGGTCGAAAAACTGGACCCCCTCCTGCTAGAGACTCGACAGATGTTCGTCGTAAAACCACTGAAACAAACGTGCTTAATCGCTCGAACTACGTCTAAGTTTGGTAGTAAGCTTAGCTGGGGGGGGGGAGGAGAGGGCAACAGCACTGTATGACCACCTCGTTTCCGTTTCGTTTATGATTAAAACCCGGAGCCAGTGACAATTTTATCGGCTCAAGAGCAAGCCTGAATATGGACCGTTCGCTGGCCTCATTCAGGCACAGCAGAATGATTTAAGTAAAGTCGCATACTACGAGTTACTCGTGACGATCTCGCACTGGCACTGAATAAGTAACTGTGGCATAGTTACTGATCCCATACATTTAACGTATATGGATGTGACGAAAGCTCTCCAGACTACACGCCCAGCTAGCGTCATACACTCATAGTCGAAGGTTTTCCTAGCGAACATGTTTTCAGCATTGAATACTATTTCCAGAGAATAATACTAATGAAAATGTAATTTATAAAATCGGTTTGTGGTTCTCCACTTTCAGGCGATGAAAGTTCATGTACATCAAAAAATGGAAGCAAATAGTTTATTATTATTTGTGTGAACGTATATTCTTTAGAACATCTTACAAAAGATAAATATGTTTAGAGAATGCACACGCAGTTAAGCCAGTTAACATCGTCACCGGAGTTCAGGACTGTTTGGTGTCACTGTTCACAGTCGAATCGCTGGCTAACAAAGCCAGAACTACCTATCTGTGCCAATTTCCTGTAAAATGACCCTATGTAAAGGGCAAAATGAAAGGGGCACTTGACCAAGATGGGTCACAACATCCACATGAGAAACTTTAACGTATATTAAAATAAAATTGTTGTAAAATCATGCTTCCTACCTTAATTTTATTACAGGTGGTAGTAGAGACAACAGAACCGTCTGCCTTGGGCATAGAAACGGAATCTTTTGATGGTTTGATCAGTACGGCAGTGAGGCTCGCAATTATATCCAGTTTCGGGGCGTCACCGGTAGCTTCCATCGTGAAAGCGGATGCAGAACTTACAGCCAATACCATACCCTCATAAAAGGCTGATGATGAGGTTATGTTATTTATGTACCTGAGGCTCAGAATGAGCAGTATGGGTCAAGCTGTTTCAGTACGGTATTCACGTAAGTAGCTATACACCGTTTATGCAATGGATGCGATTCTGATAACGATACATTTTGAATAGTAAGTTAAGGTTTAAAGCTAGGGCTAGCACTGGGGGGGGGTTAATTAATGAGCGCTCGAAATCCAGATTTCACGGCAGACCGTAATGCACCTTTTCTCCTAGTTAAAGGGAACCATTCATTTTAGGAGGACCATTCATTCAAGGTGCTCAAGCAAATACAGCATGGAAATGCGTCTCATTTTATAATCTAAGTAAAACATTGATGGCAGTATTTATGTTTGTAATGGGTATCTTTTATACACTTTTACAAGCTTCAAAAATATGGATTCGCAGCTATGAACTGTTAGTACGGCATCTAGCCAATAAAAGTATACAGAGCATGCTTGATGCTCATGCAACAGGAAGTGGCAGCCCATTTGAAAGCCGCCACATCTATTCACCGCTCATCATGGCAACAAGCTCTCTAATATGTCGTAAAATCCAGATTTACGAGGCATGCAGTTATTAAGCTCTCGTTAGAGAGGTGTAGCAGATTCCAGGGTGCTAGTCCCGGTCTCCAACGCAAAAGTTCGGACAGTGTTACTGCGCAAAATACAATATCCCAATAACACGTTGATGAAGGCGAGGTGTGCGAGTGACTGGAGAATCTGAGAGAGTAAAGAAACTTAGACCAAGGTGCCTCACTAGTTGTTTGCATATCATTCTGTAGGACAAGTATTTTCACGACAACTAGGAGTTTTTGTAGGCAGCAGTCGGTATGACCTTACCGAGTTCTAAGACGCTACTTTCAGTCTCTGATGCTGCAATTACGTGCTAGATACAAGACCCTTGTCGTTTACGTGGTAATGATGAAGTTATATTAACCTAAGACTGTTAATTAGAAAGTTAAGAAATTTAGGTTAAGCTGTTTCACAGCGTATGGCACTCGCATGTTTGACAAAAAGAAAAAGCGTTCACAACACCTTAAAGCAGGGGGAGTACTTATCGACCACATTGTGAATAATCATCGGAATAAGCTGCCAGTCGTTCGTTCACGATGCCTTCGACAACGACCGGCGATACAGCACTCGGAGAACGTTATTACGATGCTGATTAGCTGGTAAATAAACCTTAATCAATTGAGGTATTTCTATTTTTCTGAAAATTCCTGAAGTTTCTGGAACTGCCACAGACGGTCGTTAAACATCGCTGTCGCAGCTTCGTGGTGCGAGCCACGGTCACAGGTCGATCGGCGATGAAGGTCATCGAATTTGGAGGTGCAGGTGTTAGCGGGGACTAGACACCGAATCGAAAGTATACCTGTCTATCTATCTGTCTATCCGCTCTTCGACGAGTGACCAGTAGCGAACGTTCATTGGTCACACCGAACGTCGACCATGAATCATGGCTGTTTTACAGAACGCCGAAGACGACTGCGACGGTCGTCGTGCACCGTGCAGAGAAATTCCAGCCTTCGCCTGTGTCATTCATTTCCTAGCGCCGTGACGTGTCGTGTCGACGCATAGATCTCGAGTTTCTAAAGCTAGCCAGTCTACGAACCCTTAGAAAACTGCGTCTGCCACTCGCCCGGCGTCGAGTACCACTATGACTAAGTCGGTCACAACTGGACAACAGCAAGACGAGACGAACAATAAAGATCGTGATAACGAAAGATTACCGTTTACACTTCCGTCCAGCATACCACATCTGGACAGAAGGATGAAAAATAAACATCGAGTGACAAAAATGAGGATACTGAGTCTGATAGCCTAGATTCTCAACGAACAAATGAAAGAAAAGATTTGTTCTCCGGACAGATCACTCAAATGCATTGAATCTGTAGAGAAACAGAGGAAGAAGTAGTCAAGAAGTAGGGTTAAGTAATGAGCGATTACAAAAAGTAGTATGGCATATAGAAGAAACTGCATTCGACAGAAACGAAAGACATGAGGGCAGCAGAAACACCGGGAATGGCATATGGGGATCTGTACACCGTCCTGCAATGATCTTCTCTATGACAGTTCGGTATTGCATACCAGCAGGTACAGATAAAAAACAAACTCGAAACATTCGAACATACATGCCTGACTAGCAATAAAGCAAGCAACCTTTCCATGCTTTATGCTTGGTTTCTTTGTCGAGTTTACTGTAGTGAAATTTGCTCCTGATGTTCGGTACTGCTCGATGTAACAGCAAAATTCACTGACTTTATTAACTGATGGAAGAACTCTAAACGCATAAATTAAAAGTAGCGGTGGTTTTGGACATCACGACTTTTGGAGCTGTATGTCGCAGTATTTTAATTCATACTTTGCCACATTCGATGGCAACGTTTGTCCGACGCAGTCAGCCACACAAGAGAATACGAGCGTACAGTGTTCGATTTGAGCAGCTGAGTCGAAATGCGAAGTACAGCTACGAAGTACAAACGACGTCAAATGATAATGCTGTTTCTGACTCCTCTTTGGTCAGCTCATTAAGACGAAACTCACCTGAAGCACGGAACAGCTGCATGACACTGAAAATCTAGAAGGCTGCTAACAGCAGTCTAGAATGTGATTTGCACGACTCTGCACTTGGAAGCAGTACAAATACAGCAATTTTTCCATAGAGTTTTCGAACGTTTCGTTTCGGCAGTTTGCAGTCGAGGCGATGCTTGAGAAACGACGACAGGGAAGAAAGTACTGCCAAATCGCAGTAGCAATAGCAGCTATTTTCATTGCTTCGAAATAATGAACAAAACGCCACGAAGAATAAGAATCAGTGTTCCGTTTACAGTGGTCTCAAGCGTAATTACCATTTCAGAGAGGTGGGAAAAGGAGTGTAAATATAAGCTTAACATTGAGGGTGTAACATTGCGAAAATCATTTTTTTGTTTCCTTGTATTTTCTGTCAAGCATCTACCGATCGTAGTTGTAGATTTACACAACTACCGCTGACACACTCACACGGATACCGCCTCAGAGAGTGACGATGCATTTTATTATACTGAGTCATGCGGCAGTGTTGCCTTCTCCTCCTTGCTCTTCATCATATAAGGAGACCATTCTTTCGGGTCACTGCTCCAAGACATTTCAGCAATGGTAGTATGTGGATGCAACACAGTATCAGCCAATAGGGTATGAACCAGGAACGTCCGCAGGCAAACTTGACTCAGTCACTGAAGCAAACTACACGCTAGCTATTGGCACCATTGATTTGTTGTTTTCAGTCTGTTTACTGACAGCATGCATAGAGTAAGTACCAGAGCTTCATTCCATCTAGTCAGCCCGGTTTCATCCTACGCTCAGTGCACGGATGACACTACGCAAAGGTTTTTTCATACCTTATATTTGGATGATTATTTCGGACGGCATTCTCCATCCTGTTCATCTGAGCTTGCAGTCAAAGAAAAAATTTAATTTCACAGATTTCGCAGAACCTGCTAACTTCTCCTCTCAGGGGGTATCACAGGTAATTATAATTATAAAAAATCGATTGATCTGCGATCCCTCACTCGGTCTCTGCCAAGGGTCGCCATGGGGACGCTCAGGATACGTCTGTGGAGAAAAATAATTGTAAACTAAACAAAAATTCGAAAATTAATGGCTGGTAGAATGGGAAAGAAGTACTCTAAAACATACTTTAGAAACCCGTTGCACCGTTTCGTTTAGTATACCTCCAAATTTCTTTTTTTCTGTACGTAAGTATCAGAAAAATCTGATAGTTCTCTCAGGCACATCCGGCTTTCATTGACTTGCATTTCAGGTGGTTGTCAAGTTCAAAACATCCGCCATCAAACAGATATAGAAATATGGAGTGCTCTCGTTCCCCATCGATAATATTTGGCCATTACGCACTGCTGTCCAAATTATGGAAAAGCATGGAAATTAATAAACCATACATCGTCAAGGAGGACAAATCACCTATGGTAAAATTTTCAAGGTTGATTGGAGTTGAACGGTCAAGAACGATCATTACGTAGCGCCGAAACGCACTAACGCAAGTCAGAATGAGCTCCAAGCAAGTGTAAGTCGCAGAACGGAGGTGCAAGTTAGCCTGTGTCCGTCAGATCATATAAATTTGTCGTTAGCCATCATATCAATATATTTCATATTATTGATCCGGATGACCCCTTGTGAGTTAGCTAAGTCTTCTTTGTCATGAGATCGAGAATACTGCAGTTCCAAGCGCTTCTAGCACAAGGCATCTTCAATGCACTCGCACCGTTTGAGGCAAAATCTGAGTGAGCTAAATTTAACGGCTTATTCAGGTCGTTGATAAATTCATTGAGGTTTTCAGCATGTAAAGGGTAAAGGCATCTTATGGCATGAATGACTGATGAATATGGAAGTTGAGCTTGCTTTAGGCAAACTTTGAGAAAGTCGTCGTCACGACATAACTCGCTAGGTAAAGAGGAGAAGAGAGAAATCAGCAAACGTTTATGCTAATGATCTGAAACTGCGAATAGAGTACACAAATCGTTCGACAAGGAAGAACGATGTGGTGAAGTAGACTTAGCACATAGTTATGAAGTTGTGCATTATGTCGTTCACTCACAAAACAGAGTATCACAGTGTTAATTTGTTCAAATCCGCTGTTATACTTCAACCGATTCATAAAGAACTTAACGTCCCCTCCAGAGTTGCTGTTTCTGCAATCTTTTATGGACGAACGACACCGACGCGTAAGTCTGGCTTTCGTTTCAGATGACTGATTGTGTGCGCCCTCCCCTCCGTGTAAAGTAGGCCAACACTCAATGCGCATCAGGTAAATTGTGGCAATGGGATAACCAGACCAATTGCCGAAAGGCATACCTTCGAGGTGGCTAACAGAACGATGGGCGATTGACGAGGAAGGAAAGAAAATTTAGGGACATTTGATCGATTCTAGAACTATTTAGGAAACGGAAAGCAGTACTTAGAAACCGCGACATTACGAAAGTTCCTAATTGGCCTCAATTTTATTCCTTGGGGACAAAATCCAACTGAAACCAAAATCAGTTCAGAGTTACAAAACAAATGTTGCAAAAAGTTCTTCTGATAGCGGAAAGCACATCAACTTATTCTTGAATGGAACAAGACACGTTTCTCTTTTGAACTTGGAGCCATATAAATGTTTATATACTCGTTGCACAGCAAGATAATTAAGCTTTAGTGTGCAGAAAGTCTGGCCATCAGCGTTTCATAGGAAAAGGCAAATTTGTATCCATGGAAAGTAGGTCTTCTTTACTTTTCATCATGGGGCCATTTCTGGCTCCCATTATTTCCATTAAGTTTATGGCCGGGCGTTTATCTACATATCCATGCCATCAGTCAGAACTGCCTTATGTTTTTAAACGCAGAGTCGATAGCAGCTACGCAGCAAGCATAATTTGTAGTCTCTTGTTTCTTTCCCACAGAATGAACTCATTTATCAACGACTAAAAAAAAGAAAGACGAGCGACTTGACCGGGACTCGAACACAGTACCTCTCGGTTCTGAGTTAAGCGCTCTATCGACTGAATAACGCCGATCCTTCCATACTATATGGTACTTTATTACGCAGTGATAATCAAATTGAATATAATAATGATAATAATAATAACGAAGTGCGCATATGAACCATAATTAATATGCATATGCCCGAAGCTCAAAGGCCCGTAATTTTCGCCGAGACGTATTCTTTGCCGTTTACAGAGAAACCTCTGTCGTCGCCAGTTTTTCAGACAAAACCTGAGAAAATCGCTGTCGTAAAAAACTTCACTGGTCTTCCGTCAAGTCTGGCGGGTGACGCGTGTAAACAACGGCCATTTCTGCGCTGCTTGGTGTTTTCGACTAACGAGCAAACGAACGAACTAACGAACGAACGAACGAACGACGTGGCCGTCAGCCATCGTCTACGAAAACGACGTCGTCGCCGTCGCCCGTGCGCCACATACGTGCTGATCTGCTGACACGGGGGCCAGGGCCAGCAGCAGATCCGAACCGACGAAAGGATGTGAGCCCTAATCCAAGTGACAAGCCCCTTCGACAGCCAGGTCGGAAAATATATGGCACAATGCGACGACAAAGCGTTGGCTGCCTTCCAACAGCAGCAGCAGATGCCAGCTTTGATCTAAACGCTCGGGCCCTATACCGGAGACGAAACGAAGGGAAAGCAACAAGCAGAGAACACCTCAGCCTGAGTGATTTAGGAACAGACCACACTTATGAACGCTGCTGTCATAAGTCGCGCAGCAGACGACAGACATCTCGTCCTCGGCGACTTCGGCGACCAAAGCCTCAAACCATCCACTGACGAAATGGCTATGCTATCCCTGAGCATCAAAGAAAATGCCCTGACACTTCTAGGATCATTGTTTATTAATTGTACGTTTTTCGGAACATGATTAGGGAATCGTAACAGTGAATGAATGGCGTTATTACTGGTGACCCTACGAAACTCGTCGACCATTCCATCGCTGTTTTACCTTCGGGCTACCTATCCATGTATCAGAAGTGCACAGACCATGTTTATAATTGGGTACACCACAAAGTGTAATTCCATGAGTTAGAAAACTGGAATCAAACAGTGCATGTGAGTTGACCTACTTCGACGAGGCTGATGTTGCGGTCGTGTGTCATATGCGACGGCCAGCCCTTGATGACTAAAAACACCTCATTACTGTGATTACGTACCAGTGGCTGTCCATGAGCATCGTTTCAATGAACAACGCATGTCTCGAATATATCCCTCTCCCACATATAGAATGTGCTCAGTCTACACTACATCGGACTACTACTGAGTGACCAACGGCTTTTCAGTAATCACGATGGAACACGGTAGGTTAAGATTCCGTTTCCCATTTAAAGTTCAGATATTCTCTTGACCAGTACAGATTTCCTAGTCAGTGCTGTCTCCTTTCCGGCAAGCGTGAAATATGAATGTGTACCATTCATTGTCAAGTGATGTAGAACATGCCGACAAGCATGAAGGACAGAAAACATTATGGTTTGAGATTCTTATTTGTAATGGAAAATAAGATAACCCCGAAAGCTGTTTTTAAGCGAGTAAAAAGCTACTCAATGAGGGCAAATGTTGTTCATCAGTTGATAACTGTAGCGATATTAGAGGACGATGAGCATGGAAAGCAGAATTTGTATGGCGGCAAACGAGCCCTTGCCTAAGCAAACTCATAGTTTAACGCCTTCGGTCACTGGGAAATATGACGTCGCCACAAAGTTACCTCAGAGTATGAGACTTTCCATTTTTGTTTTGGATCGCTTCGTAGGTCAGCAAAATCTATAGCTTCTGCAATGGATGTATCCTCCTCGCAGCATTCTCGAAGTTTTGGGTTCTTAAGTACTGATCTTTTACATGTAACCAGAAAATACTTTAAGCAGCCAGAAAATACCTTTTCATGGGGTACAGAAACAGTACAGACGGCAAACTCTGAGACTGAAATTTTCATTTTGTAGTAATTCCGGTCATCGCTGAAAATCACTTCTTCATAAGGCTTGGACGATCCTTGAAATTAACGGATTGTTAAACATACCTCGAAACAGCGCATTGTCTCAAGGGAGTGAAAAGACATGTGCAGAAGGTGGTAGTGGTGATACTGACATGCCGAAACGCCAGTACCCATTTTGATAATCAGGCTGTGATTCACTGTCTCTGTTACCGATCA